AATATTTGCAAAGTGTGAAGGATGACATTCCGAAGGATTCTAGCCTCCTGTGGCCACCAAAGACATTTGTTTCAGTGGACACTGCTGTGACTCTTAAAGTGGAGCATGAGGTTGTCTTTTATTGCATTTCTGTAAGATGCCCAAGGATGTCTGGGAGGCATTTTGATGACTAATAGTTGACCAGGGGCCGTGGAAAGCACCTGGAGCTGAACATGTTCAGTTAGTCTAGTCCTGTTTATTCTTAGAGCATTTAGTTTCATCTAAATCTCTGAATATAGAGATTAAACCAGAAGCTGCAAATTGGACATGCATGGACCAGTTCTTTCCCATACTTGGGATTTGCTTGACCTACACAATGTTTGATAATTTTAAAGACTGAACTAAAAACTGAGACATTCTACATAAAATCCAAATGTTTCTCTTGCCTTTAAAACAGGGGAACTGGCTATTAGCCTTGAATTTCAAGGAGGCCGCTTGTGGCTAAGGCTGTATGTATGGTAGTTGCTTCATTGAGATGTAACCGCCTTTGTGCTGTAGGAGCAACTTGGCCTACTAGTTCCATTTAGGTTACCTGCTAGCTTTCAGACTTGTGAATTGTGTCTGGGTTGAAATGACAACTATTGTGGAACACAATGTGCTACAAGTTGTGCATGTAACTCTCATGACATCTCTGTAACATTAATCATATTGCTCTTCATTTCAGAAACCTCAGGGTACTTACATCCAAAAACAAATGCTTTGCCAGAGGCTGTGCAGGAGGGATAAAGACCAGATGTGACAGCCAAACTCAGATTAGTTTACTTTTGAGCCTCACTCCCATGTAAATCCTATTTTGTTCTTCTCTTCTTCAGTAGAAGTACAGGATATTGATTATGATTTTTTTCAGTAGTCTGACTATTTCACCATGGAGCTCCAAAAAGGAGCTGCTGACCAAGAGTCCCATAGAACCTTGTTTCCAATGCATCACGATCTGCCTCCTGACTGTTTCTATGGGAGCTGGTCTAGGGTAGCCTCATGTCCCATGGATAAATTAAAACCAGTCTTGTGGCCTGCAGCAGGTGATTGCTTATTTTTAACAAAAGAGAAAATTTTATTTTCTGGTTTGGAACCTCATTTCTAGAAGCAGCAACCCAATCACTTTCTTTTATGGAGAGGAAGTGTGTCTGGTACTATGAAAGACATTTTGTATGTGGTTTTATTTAGTTTCCATAACAACCCATCTAATCCACATAATTTTATAGATGACACCAAGTCTCTGAGAAGCTGAGAAAATTGCAAAAAGTTATATGGCTACTAGAAAAAATGTCGCAGAGCAGATGTTCCAGTAGTGGTCAGTTAGTAGCTAGTATCATCAGTCTACAGAATAAAGCACTTAATGCTTATTATCATTTTAAAAAATTGAAAATAGTATGTCTATTATTGAATGTTTGGTAACCCAAACAAAATTTAAGAGCAAAAGAAAGTAACTCTACCTCTCAGAGATACAAGATGTCTTCAAAAATTTCACGGAAAATGCATACTATGCATGGATTTCAAAATTTCTTTGCACCAAAATAAATATCTATTAATTCCACTCTTCCATAAGCTTTTTTTTGGTGCCTTTACAGTATAACATTTTGGTGTATTTTCCCTAGTTTCTGAAAATATATGTGTAGCATATCAAGTATATGTTTAAAAAATTTAATATTTGAAAATGTTTTGAATATTAGTAAGGTCATCTTAGCAACCTACCTAAAGGAAATTTTAGTGAATTAGAGATGAATTCACCACCTGCTTAAAGCATAGTTACTATGTACTAAGAATTAAGGCTTCAGAGATAAAAATAACACCCAGGGAACACACAATGTGTGTGTGTGTGTGTGTGTGTGTGTGTGAAACAGACAAGTAAATGCAAAGCTAAATGCAATGTAATAAATGTTTTGATCTTGGTAAGCCATGGGAGTCTTTCTTTTTAAAGATTCATATATTTATTTAAAAAGCAGAGTCAGGTCAGAGAAGAGATTTTCCATCTACTGGTTAACTCCCCAAATGGCTGCAATGACTGGGCCAGGCTGAAGCCAGTAATCTGGTACTCTGTCCAGGTCTCCAGCTAGGGTGGCAGGGGTCCAAACACTTAGGCTATCCTCTGCCACTTTCCCAGGTTCTTTAGCGAGGAGCTGGATCAGAAGCAGAGAAGCCGAGATTTGAACTAGCACCCATAAGGGATGCGGGCATCACAGTTTGTGCACCAACCTGCTGCAGCACAAAGCCAGCCCTGCCCTCAGCATCTTGAACATCAACAGAGATGCTGTTTACTTGGCCAAGGGAAAGAGAATGTAGTCAATATCTTCACTACCTGGAGCTGGTAACACATGAGCTGAGTATCACAATACATGAAAGATCCCTAACGCAACAAGAAGAGAGCACCCAAGAGAAGGACACTGTGTATAAGCCTCTGAACTCTGAAATAATTATCTCTGAATGCAGTACTCTGACCTCCAGTTTGTCCAGGAGAAATCGCACACTGGCTACATTTTCCTTTATGCCAATAGAAATCACAAGTTATGGACCCATCAGCATAATGACTTTCTTTTCTATCTGCCCCACAGAGTCACTTAGAATTCTAGGCTCGCTCTTCTGGGAGAAAGTTACAGACCCTTTGCTATATCCAGTGGGAAATATATTTTTTACCCATGGCAGAAAATCTGTTTAATCATTTGCACATAATAGACCATATGCTGGCGCGGGGCTGGGAGGTGACATGATAAAGGCAGAGAAAATCACTTGCCACAAGTTCAGGTGATGAATGTATCAGGCAAGTCCTCGCCTGGGGAAAGAATATAGATTCCAGTGCACTCAGGTAGGATGAAATCATCCCCCATCCCGAGTGCCAGTTATTACTGAGGTTGTGTAGGGCAGGCACGCATCTCGCTTAATGAAACATTGAGTAGGGCAAAGTCCTGCCCTACTTTCTGCTAAAGATGAATAGAGAAAGGACCAATGTTATCTTTATCCAACCGGATCAGTTAAAAAAATCATGAGGCCATAAAAGAATCTCTTTGGTACTGGGAAACTTCATGTGTTCACTCAGACAGTAAAGTTCTTTCCCACTTTTGCTCCTGCCACCCTGCACACTGAACCCAGAAGACTCCTAGTTAAGAATGCATGTGAAAAAGAGTAATTAATGATCACAGTAGTTAGCCTTGCAGGACGATTTTCAGTGTGCTTTTGTATATGTATAATTTCATGGGGCAAAGTTACACAAAGAATGAGACTTGAGGAGGTTAAGGAATTCACCCAAGGACACAACCAACCTATTGGTAGCAGAACAGGGATTCAAACCCAGGTTTGTCTGACTTCAGGCTCTAAATACACTTCTGTACAGCATTGTGTGCCAAGCTATATGCATCTAGGGTGGAACTGCTTCTTTTAAAAATTACAAGTTTATTTTATTAGGAAGAACAGAAAAGTCATGTTGGAAAGGCAACCAGAAATTTCTGCCATGGTCATCAAAGTAATGACCTTTAAGCCTTAGCCTAGAAATGTTTTTTTCTACATGTTCTCACCCACTAGTTGTACAAGCAGCAGCTTCGTAGGTGTTCTCACCACTAGTTAAACAAGCAACTCTGATTTTCAAAATGATCTATCCTCCAAGAGATCTTCTTATCTTTCCTTTAAAACCCAAGCCTTAACAGTGGGTTATCTGCATTATGTCTCCACCTAGATGTCAAATGCTGCCTCAAATTTAGCACAGCCACAGCTGGACATGTGGTTCTTACTTTTGAGCTGTTTTCCCCAATCAGATTCCTGTCTCAGTAAATGATAACCCTGTAGCTTTTGATTCTCTGGCTGATATATAACCTTGCAGTTTTTCTCTACTACCTGGAATATGGAATCAGCTTTATTGAGGAAATGCATCCAGATCCAGCCCCTCTCTGATCCCCTCGATTGCTATTTTGATCATTTCACCAGTAGTTGTTTCCTGCCTGGATTCTTGTGTGACAGCCTCTAACAAAGCCCCACATTTTCTGCCCTGTCCACCTAGTCTGTTAGTTTGACAGTCAGAGTGATGCTTCAGGAATGCAAGGAAATGGTGTTTTCTCTCTGTTCAAGACTCTCTAGCTTCCTCTCTGAAGGTCTTCCATGAGACCTCAAAGTCCACTAATCAGATTCTACTCTCACTTCTCCTGCCTCTCAGCATTCACTCAATTCCAGCCACTCTGGCCATTTTGCTGTTTTCTGAATGAACCAAGCATGCTGACATTCCAGGGGCTTAGAACAGCATTCGAGTAGCATTGTTATCCCAACTAACTTCACATGATTGTTATTTCAAGTCATCTTTTAGAGACATTTTCTCTGTCTCACATGAAATTGCATCCTGCTTTCTCAATATGTTCTCATTTTTCTTCTCTATGTAGTTTTCTTCATTGTACTTTTGATACCTGACATACTCTTTGTTTTAAAGATGTATTTATTTATTTGAAAGGCAGCATTACAGAAAGGCAGAGGCAGAGAAAGAGAGAGAGGTCTTCCATCTGCTGATTCATTCCTCAAATGGCTGCAATGGCCATAGTTGTGCCAATATGAATCCAGGAGTCATGAGATTCTTCCAGGTCTCCCACGGAATGCAGGGGCCAAAGGACTTGGGCCATCTTCTACTGCTTTTCCAGGCCATAGCAGAGAGCTGGATCAGAAGTGGAGCAGCTGGGACTCGAACCAGTGCCATATGGGGTGCTGGCACTACAGGAAGTGGCTTTACCCGCTACAACACAGCACGGGCCTCCCATATTCTTTATCGATTTGTTTTCTATCTCTTGTTTCCATCCTTCAATGATGTCAACTTTCCAAGAACAGTGATAATGTATAAGTTTCCCTGTTGTATCTCTGGCTTCTTCAGAATCACATATGTAGGATAGATACTTGGTAAGTACTTGTTGAGTGCATGAATGGATGAATGATCATCTTGGCAATGGCATTTTGAAAGCATGAGGGTTTAGCTCCCCAATAAAGAAGTGGACCGTCAATCTTATATCTTTCAAACTTTATTTATTTAAGAAAGAGTGAGTGAGAGATGGATAGATAGGTAGATGATGGAGATGGGGGTTTGGCTGTGGCTGAAACAAGGGGCTGGTAGTCAGGAGCTAGGAATGTAATCCAGGTCTTCCTCGTGGGTAGCAGAAACCAAATTATTAGAGCCTTTTGCACTGCCTCCTAGGGTCTGCAACAGCAAGAAGTTGGATCAGAGCTGAAGCCATAAATTGAACTCTGGTATGGGATGTTGGCATCCTAATCCGTAAGTTAAATATGCACTCACAATCTGCTCTACCTTTAACATAGGACACATCCCCAAATCTTTGAACTGTAGCCCCCAGCCAAATAAGGCAACAGAAGCCAATTTGCTTCAACAGAGCTGTTGAGTTGAATTTTTACTCTGCATTTACCTTGACTGATGGTTTGGTTCAAGTTATGCTTTGTAGGAAATTCATTTCCTCCTGGAGTTGCTTCTGCCAACAGAGGGAAGACAATAATTTCTTCTTGGCTTGATTTTCAACTCAATCTTCTCTGTCTTTGAGAACTCAATTGCAACCAAAAAACCGTTCCAAATTTTATCCTGGTCAAATCAAGTGCTGCTCCTGTAATTTAATCACTCCCCTTTTCCTCACTGCATCTTGTTCTCCTTATTTTCTCAGCTTTTCCATTGTGGAAGACTGATTTGGTTTGCTTTCCAGTTAGACCCTTAAGTCCATGATTCACTTCTGGATATGGAATATTTTATTTCCTTATGTTGTATGTGTTAGTCTTAAATTATATACTTGGCAAAGCTAGAAAAGGATTTTTTGTAGTTAGATATAAAATATTTACAATAAAAATCATATACAGTTGAAAATGTATGCATTATTTTCTCATTCTGGTTCTGGCTCTATTGGATTATATCTATTTTTTAAAACTCTTGCCCTTTTTGGGCCTTGTAATAAATCACACATACAAAAGCTTTCAGCCATTAGATCACTGAGTACTTTCAAAAAACATCTACAGACAAAAGGAAATAGGTCAGTCTTTCTTTGCAGGAAACCGTATAAAATTAGTGTAGTAAATGTTTGATTAAACAAAAGCAAATACAAGATTTTATTTCCATTTGCCACTTTCAGAAAAGAACCAAATGACCTCCTCCCAACAACAAAAATAATCCTTGCTTATTGATTCATTCATCCACTTATCAAACACACCATACTTCTTGATAATCACAGAACTATTATCAGACTGCATAGATTAGGTATAACTCACATGTAATAGAGAGCCTAAGTGATAGGTTAAGCAAGATAGAGGGTTTTTTTTTCTTTATTATTATTATTATTTTTTTTTAATAAATGTGAATTTACAAAGTGCAACTTTTGTATTGTTGTGGCTCCCCCCCCAACCTCCCTCCCTCCCGCTCCCCTCCCCTCTCCCACTCCCCCTCCCATCCCGCCCTTCATCGAGTTTCATTTTCAATTACCTTCATATACAGAAGATCAACTTAGTATACACTAAGCAAGGATTTCAACAGGCTGCACTCACACAACCGCACAAGGTATAGGGCATTGTTCAACTAGTAGTGTTGTTTTTAAGTTTCATAGTAAAACACATTAAGGACAGAGATCCTACGTGGGGAGCCTGTACTCAGTGACTCCCGTTGTTGATTTAACAATTGACACTCTTATTTATGACATCAGCAATCACCTGAGACTCTTGCTATGAGCTGTCTAGGCTATGGAAGCCCCTTGAGTTCACTGACTCTGAACTTGTTTAGTCAAGGCCATATCACCTTGGGGGTTCCTTCCTCCCTTCAGAGAAAGGCGCCTCCCTCCTTGATGGCCTGTTCCTTCTGCTGGGGTCTTGTTCACCAGGATCTTTCATTTAGATTGCTTTTTGCCACCGTGTCGTGGCTTCCCATGCCTGTGAGACTCTCATGGACCTTTTAGCCAGATCCAAATGTCCCGAGGGTTGATTCTGAGGCAGGAGTGCTGTTTTGGGCATTTGCCATTCTATGAATCTGCTGTGTGTCCTGCTTCCCCTGCAGGATCATTCTCTCCCTTTCAATTCTATCCTTCATTGTGTGCTTACACTGGTCTTATTTGTGAAATCTCTTCGACACTTACCCTATCTTTTTGATCGGTTGTGTATTTATACTTATCACTTTATCAAGTGGCAAGATAGAGTTTCGTTTCTCACTCACTGTTGTTCCCAACCTGAGTAAGCAACATGAACAGCTTTTGTGATATCTGCTTTCAGGGACCCAGGATCCTCCTCTTACCCAACTCTTTGATACTAACTCTGTGATCATCTATGTGGTCCAGCATTTCTTGCCACTACCTCCACATTCTAGTTGTCAAGAAGGTGTAAAGGAATCAAGAAGGGCAGGGCTAGTTCTCTTCAGGATATGAGGAGAAATTGTCCTCTTCACTTCTGCTCACATCCCACTGGTAATTAGTCACAAGCACTCATCACATGGCCATGCCTATATGCAAGAAAGCATGGCATTTATGACATATGCTTAGCTAGAAATTGGAGATCTACTGTAATAAAAAATGATAGAGTGGATACTGGGGGACAGCTAGCAGTTAGAAATCAATACTCTTATTTTAAAGATTCATAAACTAGGGCCAAAAGAGGTAAAACATGTCACAAACTTTACAACTCAATTCATGGTGGAACTAAGCTTTGAGTCCAGATCATTGTGATGTGATGAGTAGATGTGGGTTTGGAAGCAGACAGATTTGAATTAGAATCTGTTTACCAATTACTGACCATGTGATTTGGGGAAACTTACTAACCTTTTAGAGTGCTGCTTTTTTTTTTTTTTTTTATGTGAAATGGCTGCGATTTCTTTCTTGAAGGTTTTCTGAGATGATTACTGAGTTGATTGGTATATAACAGCACCTTTCAGGGAATCTAGCACTTTGTAAAGACTATATAGATCACAGATTACTCCTATCTTGATCTAACTACAGCTTAATACTACAGAACGTGAATATGTTTAAACACACGTTACTACAGAAAAACATGTGAAGCATGTCTCATGGACAATCCAAATCTTATTATAAATTTATATTTCTGTACTATTTGAGTTACTATTCAATTATGGTTCCAGCTAATTTAAGAGATGGGCACAAAAGAAGAGACCTTTAGGGAAAGTTTCAATTATATAGAAAATATAAGTCAACAAGAATCACTTGTACTCTGAGAATTCCAACCAATTAACTGAATATTTAGCATTATTTCAATAATACATTATATCCTATCCTGCCCATAGATTTAATGCTTGTTTTTTTCTTGTCACTTTCACTCTCATTTTCTTTCTCATGATATTTTTATCTCCAAGTTCTGATTTCAACACCTGTGTTTTATTTTTCTTATAATGAGCTTGGAGGCTAAGTTAATTTAGTTTCCACATCTTGGAAAAAATTAGATTGGATACTTAAAAAATCTGAGAGGGAGAAAAATGCTGTTCATATTTAGTTAAGATTTTTTTCTTGAGTAAGTTAGAAAAGTTCTTTCTAAACTTGTCTTTTGAAGTGATTATATCTAGAAAAACACACAGGTTTGCTGGAGAAAAATTCCTCTACTCTGGGAAGAAATAATTCAAATCCAAACCATTTGTGATATATAAAGCAGCATTTTGAATATTCATATTGTGATGTGAACATCAGACCTCAGAATGATAAGCCTTACAGAATGAATTGAAATGAAGACAGCAGTGTGAATGTCACTTCCCTAATGCACAATATTGCAGCTCTCTCCAGCATCTTCTTCACCCTGATCTGATCACTAGAGAACAACACGCTTACACACATGGCAAACACTCCCCCATTCTAATTAAAAGGCTCTTTGGAAGGAAAACAAATTTTAACTCAACATCTCTCAGAATGGATTTTAATTCTGCTGTGTGACATTATTATTCTAGTCTACTCCTTTTGTTTAGTTTGTTTTGCAATATCAGCATTTCACTTTACTTCTACTTATTCTTGTGTCCTGATTGAAATCACCTCTGAAATGTATCAGATGTTTGCTGCCTGCACATTCCCAATTCTTTTTTTTAAGCCCCCGTTGTTATGCCAAATACTTCTCTCTCTACTTTCATTCTTCTTGTTAGTATGCCTGTCAACAGACTTGTCTTCAAACAATTTAAATTATTTTCAATTTCTTTTAGTAGAGGGGAAAAGAAATCAGATCACTTTACAGCAAGTATTTTACTTTGCCTTATGAATGCATTTCACATCCACATTTTGGCACACCTGGTCAGTCCATTTTAGAATTATTCATCTCCGTTTATGCTGTTAATGGATTTTCAATTGCAAATTATCTACAGAACATGCATCAGAATACTTTTTACAGCTGACTGATTGGATTCATACATATGTAATCTTCAATCAGCTTTTGGCTTATATCAACAAGTTTCCCCTTTGGAAGCAGCTAGCTAAAAGGGGCCTCAGCAGATTGGTGGTTAATTGTGAGTCTAGAATATCCTGTGGGCAGAGTTAGAGGCTGCTTTCACCACCCTTAAGGGTTCTGTTTGCATAAGAAAAGAAGATGGGGAGCTTGCAGATTTTAAGAGGGAAGCTTCATAAATATTTTAGTGTTCATAAAATGAAAAAAATGGACAGAACAGGAAAAATTAAGAGAATATAAATGATCTTTCTGGTACTACCTGGTTAGAAGCTAAAAGTTCCAAAGGCAAACTAAGAGCAGGTTTTTTTCTATAAATTAGTGCTATTCAAAGCGTGTCTGGGTTGGTATCATCTAGGCATCCATGAGACCCTGAATTGTATGTGTCCACCAGTCCCACTCTGTCAGAGAACTAAAGTTCTTGCTGAAGATTCTAGTAACTGTGATTGCAACAGGATAGACCTAAACATGTGTCTTGTCATTTGAGGATGTCCTAGAGGGCATTCTGGGAAACCTTACTTGGGCATCCAGGAGAGAGTTTCAGTTTTATGGCTCTACCTGCATGTGAGCACAGCCTTCAGCAAAGGCAGTGGTCTAGGGTGGGCATTGTGGTACAGGACATTAAGCTGCTGCCTGGGATGCCTGTGTCTCATATGGGAGTCCCTGGGATGGGGACCCAGCTATGCTTCCAATCCAACTTCTGGCTAATGCACCTGGGATGGCTCAAGTACTTGGTTTCTTGCTGCCCATGTGGAGACCCAGATAGAGTTCCTGGCTCCAGGATTTGGCCTGGTACAGCCCCAGCTTTTACAGACATTTGAGGAGTGAATCAGCAGATGAAAGATCTAGATCTCTCTCTGTCTCTGTCTCTGTCTCTCTGTCTCCTTCTCCCTGTGCCATTCTGCCTTTCAAATAAATAAATAAGTAAATAAACTTAAAAAAAAAATAGCAGTATCCAGGCACTGGGGCAGCCCGACCATATGCTAACTCCTTAGTCCTTATAATACATGTTGCTAAAAGTCAATCATTCTCATATAACTAAAATATTGCACTTGAATTCATTTGTAGCTGAATACTAACTGCAGCACACTAATAAGTTTACCTTACAAGGCTTAGAATTAATAGCTATAGTCTTCCGTTAGATTAGTATAAAGTTTGACGATAAGAGAGAAAGTCTTGTGCAAAGTGATGTTGCCTGATAAGGTACATTTAATTCCATTTGCCTTCTCCAATTTTCTAGAAACATTTTAGGGTCCCTCTCTTTGGACATTTCATCATGGAGCTATATGATTTTTGTTTTATGCATAAAGTATATATCCATTGATTGGTGCATTTTTCCTGTTTCTGTATTTTTTAAAAGTTTATGTTTTTATTTTTGTTTATTTAAAAGGTAGAATGACAGAGAGAGATCTTCCATCTGAAGACTCACTCCCCATATCTCCATGACATCTGGTTGAAGCTAGGAGTGAGGAACTCCATCTTGTCTTCCATGTGGGAGGCTGGAACCCAAGTACTTGAGCTTGCTGTCTCTGAGGTTGTATTAGCAGAGGTGGGACTCTATCCCAGGCACTCAACTACTGGATGCTAGCATCCCAAGCATTGACTTAACCCTCTGCCCCTCTGAGAGATAATGCCTGCCTCTGTTTTGTATTATTCCAAGATGGTGAGTCAAATAGGACCCCCCAAGAGGAGATATAGGAATGGCTCAGGAAAACAAGGTCTATTATAGTCACTGCTTCTGGAAGCAGTGACTATATTCTGTGTTATTTTTGGTATCTTGGAGACACACATGGGAAAGACATCAGGGAGGTCATGAAGTAGGAGACGGAGATATGGAAGGGGAAAACATTAAGTGAGAGCTTTATTGAGGTTTCTGTGGGAAAGGCTAAGGGACAGGATGAACAGCTGAGTATTTGTAAATGTGAATACTTTGAGTTTACCCTAAACTATGGGCATGATCCTTAGTGGTTTGGTGGTCCCTAATTGCTCTGTGGTAATTAGAATAGGGGAATGCTGTCTTCTGGGAGGCACAGATCTGAGGCAGGAGAGGTTTGACTTTGCATTGCTTATCAAAGGATGCTTCTATTTGGGCCTTTTGCTGCTTTTCAGAATCTGCTAGCCCTAGGAGGGACAGTCTCTTCCAGCTAGCAAGGTTCTTGAAGATATCAAAACATGCAATATACAGAAATATATATATATATACATATGCATATATATATACACACAC